AGAGCTTCGAGAAAGGAACATAGCCCTACTGACACCTTGATTTTAATCCAGTGAGACTGGTATCAAACTTCTAACCTTCAGAGTTATAAGATAATAAATTTGTGTTGTTTTAAGCTATTTTTTTGTGGTAATTTGTTATAGCAGCAATAGGAAACTAATACAGATTTTGTACTGGATATAGGGTGCTGCTGAATAAATACCTAAAAATGTGGAAGTGGCTTTGAAATTGGGCAATGGGCAGATGCTGGGAGAATTTTGAGGAGCAAAGTAGAAAAAGCCTCGAGTGCCTTTAACAGACTATTAGCAGAAATATGGACGTTAATGACTCTGCTAGTGAGGACTCAGAAGGAAGTGAAGAGCATGGTAGAGAAAACATACATCGTTTTGGAGAATACTTAAATCATCATCAACAGACTGTTGGTAGAAATGTGGAATGTTAAAGGAGCTGCTGGTAAAGGCTCATAATGGAAATGAGGAATATGTTATTGGAAACTTGAGGAAAGGGTATCCTTGTTATACTGCAACAGAAAGCTTAGTGGAATTGTGTCCTGCAGTTAAGTGGAACAGTGGAACTTACAAACAATAAATTGAACATTTAGCTGAGGAGATTTCTAAGTGTTGAAGGTGCAGTCTGATTTCTTCTTGCTGCTTATAGTGAAATGCCAGAGGAAAGAGATAGATTGAAGGAAGAACTGTTAAAGAAAAAGGAAATATGACTTGGTTTGAGAAATTCTTAACCTAACCAGATTTCAAAAGATGCTAAACTTGAGAGATTCACTATCAGAATAGAAAAAGCTAGGATGTGGCTGTAAAAATCTTTTCCTAATACCATGGAAAGATCAAAAGATCACAGTATTCAGTGATAAAAATGCCTCTTTAAAGAGATTGTGTGTGACTCAGCTATCTCAGTAGAAGCCAAAAACAGGGGTGTGACTCTCTTGGAGGAGCCTCTTGTCTAATGGAATGAATTCCTATAACATATCCAGGATACCCACAAAGTTTTTGAGAATTTTATATCAGCAGAAACATTGTCAACTTGGACATAAAAGAACAGAATACGAAATGAAAGAAGGCTGTCTGATAACTCAAAACTCTATAGGCAGGAAACAGGCTGATAAAACCACTCAGCTGCAAACATGTTCTACTTTTCATAAGAGAGACAGGATGGTCCAAAGAGTGGAACAGAGAGCCAGAGGGTGGGGCTTTGAACAACAGAGGATTACTCTCAGGCCTTGAAACCAAATGGAGTTTGTTCAGCTGGATTTTGAAATTTCTTGACTCTTTTTTTCCTTCCATTATTTCCCATTTTGAATGAAAATGTCCATAACCATAACTGGTATCCTATGCCTATCCCACTGTTGTATTTTGAGAGCAGGTAACTTGAGTTTTGAGTTTCACAGGTAAACAAATGAAAAGAAATTGTGTCACACTCATACTTAGTTTAGATGCTGCAATTTGGGACTTTTGATCTGACGAGATTTAGATGAGATTCTTGACTTTGAGTCGATATTGTAATGGGAGGAGATCTTTAGGGATTTGGGATAGGGTGAATGTATTTTGCATGTGGGGTGGATGTGTATCTTTGGAGGCCAGAGGATGGATTATGGTAGACAGGATAATGGTCCCCCAAAGATGTTCACATTCTAATCCCCATAACCCATAAATATGTTACATACAGTAGTGTATTAGTTTCCTATTGCTGCCACAACAAATTATCACAAACTTAGTGGCTTAAAACAATACAAATTTATTACCTTATAGTTATAAAGGTCAGAAATCTGAAATGGGTTTTAGTGGGCTAAAATCAAGGTGTTGATAGGGCTGTGTTACTTCTGTAGGATCTAGGGGAGAATCTGTTTCTTTGCCTTTTCTCACTTCTAGAGGCTACCTGCATTCCTTGGCTTGTGTCCCCCTCTTCCATCTTCAAAGCCAGCAATTTAGTATATTCAAATCTCTCTCTGACTCTGACACTGACTCTCCTGCCTTCTTCTTTCTCTTATAAGGACCCTTATGATCACATTGGGCCCATCCAGATAATCCAGGATAATATCTCCACCTCTAGATCCTTAACTTGGTAATATCTGCAAACTTCTTTTTTGCCATGTAAGGTAATATATTCACAAGTCCCAAGGAGGAGGATGTGGACATTTTGGGGGATTATTATTCTGTTTAACACATCTATTTTGTCTAACTTTTAACTTTATTACCATAAAGTTGCTAATAATATCCTATTATTATCCTTTTTTCTACTCTCTCTTGAACCCATTCCAATTAGGTTTCTGTCCCAATACTCTGTTGGAATCATTTTCCAGCAGTGACCACCAGTGACCTCCAGGTAGCCAAATTCAATTGGAATTTCTCAGCCTTAATCTAACTCAAACTTATTATCAGCTTTTGACTCAGTTGATTCGTCCCCTCTTCTTGAAATAATTTCTTTGGTTGGCTCCTCAGATCTCTTCTCTAGCTACCCTCTCCCTCCAGGTGATTTCTTCCAATTTCACGGCTGTGAATACCATCTACACACTGACAATTCCCAAATTATACGTTTACCAGGACCTCACCCGTAAATTCCAGACTTCTGTATTTAACTGCCCATCCAATATCATCACTTGGATAGCTAACAGGCATATTAAACCTGAAAATTGATTTTCAACCCAAACTTGCTTCTCCCCCTGTATTCTCCATCTCAGTAAATGGTTCCATCATTCACACAGCTACTCAGGCCAAAAAACATTGGAATCATCCTTGATTCCTCCGTTTTTTCTATACTTCACATCCAATCCATCATAAAATAAGTATTTCAAAATATACCCTGTATCTGACCACTTCTCATTACCACCACCATTATTAATCTGATCTAAGCCATAAACTTCTTTCACTTAGGTTATTGCAAAAGCTTTCTAATTGTTCCCCCTCCTTAAATACTTGCTACCTCCTTTTCTCCCTTGAGTATATTCTCCAGACACCAGAGTGATCCTTTTAAAAGGATCATATCTCTCCCTTACTCTAAACCCTACAAAGGATTCATTCATATTACTCTAGACTGAAATCCCAAATCCCTCATATGGTCTACAAGCCCTACATGATCCTGCTTGTGGCTACATTTCCAACCTTATTTCCCACTAATTGCCTTGCTCATAGCTCACAGGCACACTAGGCTTTCTATTCCATAAACACGTTAAGCATGCTCCTGTATAAGGTCCTTTTCACAGTTCCCTCTATGCAGAATGCTATTTTCCCACTACCACCAAGCTCGGCTCCCTTACTTCACTCAGATATTTGCTCAAATGTCACCTTCTCAGAGACCTTCTCTGACCACTCTACCTCTCTCTCTAAAATAGTACTCCTGTCACTCTCTGTCCTCTCACCATGCTCTGGTTTTCATTCAGTATACTTTATAACTAACTGATGGTATATTCTTACATTTTAAAATCTGTATTCTCCACTAAAATTTAAGTTTCATGATGGCAAATAATTTGTTTTCCCTTTTATTGTATACCAAACACATAGGGCAGCACTTAGCACATAGTAGGGCTTAATAAATTGAACAATTGAATATTTTTTCCTTTATTTGTTATTTTGATCGGCCACTATGTACCCTATTTTAATTCTTAAGGGCAAAGAAATGAATGACAATCTTTACTTTCCACAAGCTCTTGATTTAGAAGAAGAGATTTTTATATACACACACAAATAATTATGGTTCAGGGTAAAAAGGACAGAATTTATATAGAGGAGGTAGGAAAGAGGATTATTAGGAAAAATTGGAGAAAGTTCAACTTGAGCAGAATTTGAAAAAATGAATACAAGTTTATCAGACAGATGTAAGTCGGGTGAGAGGGAAGGCATTCCAAGCTAAGAGAATAGTGTATGTACAGGCAGAGAGGCATGAAATAGCAGGCTGTCATTTGGGAACTCTAGAGTTTGGTACATTGGAATGAGTGGTGTGGTGGAAAAGGTGGTAAAGATGATGCTAGGTAAGTAGGGAGGACTCAGAAAATGAAGAGCCTTATATGCCATGATAAGAGCAAATTTTCTCCAGTAGCCAAAAGGGAAACTCTGAAAACTTGTAAGATGGGATTGATATGATTGATAGATTTTCACTCTGGCCATTTCACTCACACATTAGAAATGCCCTTCTAGCAGCTTTATTGGTGCCTGAGGTAAGAAACTCAGCTTGAAATAGTCCAGATGAGAAGTGATGAGAGCCTGAAGTAGAAATAGTTGAGGAAAAATAAAAATATGTATGAGACTATCATAATTCTATGAAAAATTTTTTTTTATGATCATACAACTTTTGGCTTTGTTTCTATACTTTAAAAAACAACCCCTTAATATAAACCTGGTTTCCCCAGTAGACGTTCCTGTTGGGAAAAAAACATATTGACCAGGCAATTCATGTAATCCAGTTGCGATTGCAGTTTATTTTTTATATTTACCATTTACTTTGTGAGCTTTGCTAGTGTGGTCAGTTCTTTAGAACCCAATTACCCTGGATAAAGTGATCACTTTAATTTCTGAACATGCAGAATTGAGAACAAGACCCTTTGGTAACATCTCCAAAGGACAGAGATCTTCAAAGTCTTAAACAAATAGCTTTACTATTTATGTGGGATATGATAAATCATAAACTTTTTACATCACTGTACAAAAATGTAATAGAATTTATTAGGAACTTCAGAAAAACAAAGCTTCACAACTATAGCTAATACATAATTTGAATAATAAAATATCCTTTCTTTTATTTTTAAATATAATGAATTATTTCCAGTAGCCTGCTCATTAAAAACAATAAAGTATTTCCATTCATTAAAAATGTATTTAACAATAAAATATATAATAAAGTATAATTTGTAGCATAAATGTAAACTAGTCAATTTATCTTCATTACCCATGTTATGATTTACCTTTATTTTATGGTTATAGTGTTTTAAGTCATTAACAAATACAGAAATATATGATATATTTAGATAAGATTCTTAAAAATAATGATTCCATTTAATAGTTACTGTTATACTTCATCAGTATTTTCTCTGCAGTCTGGATTCAACATCAGGAGATAGACTGGTCCTTGGCTGGCTGTTCTGTAACGTAATTTCAGAATATTCTTTTACTGTAGTATTCATAGACTTTAACAGGTAAATCTCCTTACAGATTATAGATTTTAATAAGACTAAACTTATAATTCAAATTCTCAAATACTACATATACATCAATCTCAACATAATAAGTACCACTTTATGTAAGGCATCATAGTAATTATAATAATTCATAATCTTCACTCTTTGCTATTGGTAAGATGCGCTGAAGAGGTGTTTTTCATCATAATTTGCTGTGTAAGTGGTCAAAATTTAATAATTTTATTTTCTACAGGAAGCACTTGGAGCTCATATAACACCCTACATTGGGCTAAAGAAATAAGTTGCTTGGGAGGATAGTTGTTAAAAATTCATTAAATTTATTTTATTTTAAAAATAAAATATTCCAAAATGAAAATTCTGCTTCTAAGAGTCATAGTTTTTACAATGAAAATCATGGCAGTCATCTTGAGGATACCCTGCAGCTACTCTGTTATACTATATTGTTCACATGTTGTCTCTATTGGAATGCAAGCTACTTGAGGACAGGAAAGTGTTTTCCTCTTTCTAGTCCCAGCCCTAGCAGAGTGCCTGACACATGGTAAGAACTCAGGTGATATTTGTTCAATGAATAAAAAGAGACCAATATGATAACTTTTACAAAAAGAAAAAATTAGGCTGCTATGGTTGCCAAAAGGAGGAAATTTTAAATTTTGGACAGGACAAAGCTTGAACTGAACAAGCCTTCCTAGAGGAGATGACACTGAAGTCAAGTCTTAAAGAATAAGTAGGAGAGAGGCATTTAAGAGAGCAAGTCCTATGAGGCAGTGGGAGTAGTGTCGGTTCTGGAAGCATGCAAGGAGTTCCAGAGATTCCTGCCTGTTACTCCACAGTGTGTAAGTTATGAGCTGGGGAGCAACTAGAGGTGAGGGTGGAAAGGTGTTGAATGCAGTTCTCTGGAGTTTTAATTTTATCTTTTCGGTGATGGGTAACCACTGAGGCTGGGTTTTAAGCAGGAGAGTGATACGTTCATATTTGTGTTTTATAAAGATTACTCTGGTGGTGATGATATGAAAGATGCACTGGAGAGAGCAAACCTGGAGGCTGTTGAAATGGTCCAGATGAGACACGATGAATTCTTAAACTAAGACACTATCAGTAGGAATGGAGAGGAGTGGATAGATTTGAGATGCATTTAGTAAGTATAATTAGGAGGATTTATTGACTAGGGTATGGGGGAATGAAAAGTCTGGATGAAAAGTCTGGGAAATTTGGTGGATGATGGTGTCATTAATTGAAATAAGAATTATAAAAGGTAGAATAGATTTTAGGGGGAATAGGGGAAAATATAAATCCTGACCTGCCACTGAAGAGTTAGTTCTGAGGCTTGAGAAAATTACTCAATGTCCCTAGCTTAGAAGATTAAACAAGAGAATATGTGTGAAACCATTTGGCACAATACTTTCAATGGTAGAAACCCAGTAAATGTGCATTTCCTTTCTTCTTTCTAATTATATATATTTCAACAATGTTCAGTTGCCACTAAAGGGTACTAATTGATTAAATACTAACACTCATTAAAGGGCTTTGGAAGAACTCCAGAAACAGTGGTACTTTTATGGAGTATAAAGTCTTGCTTCAGAATATAAAAAAAAAAGTTTCAGGTTTGAATAAATCACTGCATTTTATCGCAGTCTGAAAAAGGGAAGCAATTTATGTATTCAAAGACTATGTATAAAAAAATCATAAAGACTCAACCAATATTTTCAAGTGGTTAGTATGTACTAGTTTCTATGTAGTAGATAGATAAGTGAAAAACAGCCTCAAGAATATAGTTCCAGGGGGCTGGCCTGGTGGCCCAAGTGGTGAAATGAGCGCTCTGCTGCGGCGGCCTGGGGTTCGGATCCCTGGTGCGCACTGACGCACTGCTTGGCAAGCCATGCTATGGCGGCGTCCCATGTAAAGTGGAGGAAGATGGGCATGGATGTTAGCCCAGGGCCAGTCTTCCTCAGCAAAAAAAAGAGGAGGAATGGCAGATGTTAGCACAGGGCTGATCTCCTCACAAAAAAAAAAAAAAAAAAAAAAAAAAGAATATAGTTCCAAAGAAGATTATTAATGTAGAAAGACAACTAACAAAAATGCCTATGGAGTACAAGTACCAAACCAAAGATTCATGATAAGTTCAGAGGAGGGTTGGATTGGTCATGGAAGGCTTCATGGTGGAAATAATATTAAGTTGGTGCTTAGATGAGTTGGATTTGGAAAATGGAGTAAAAGTACAGTGCAGGTGGGAATTGGGCATGAACATAAGCAAAGCATGAGAAAAACACGGAGGCAGAACAGAGTATTGCAAACTTGATGGACAATATATTAAACATTTTGGCTGAGTTGGAAGATTCATAGTGTAAGAGGAAAGGCAGGTGGGACTACAAATTGTTACAAATTGTTGTTAGAATAATTCCTGCTTTTTAGAAGGGAAAGTTACGCTTTGCATGTAAATCTCACTGAAGTACTTTCAGGAATGTTACATTTTTTTGAGACATAAATAGATAAGATGACCACAACAGTGGCAATAAAAATAAGGTAACCCAACACGTATTTAGCATGTACGTTATAGGCACTGTTCTTAGTACTTTACATGCGTGATTATCTAGATAAGATGACCACACCAGTGGCAATAAAAATAAGGTAACCCAACACGTATTTAGCATGTACGTTATATGCACTGTTCTTAGTACTTTACATGCGTGATTATCTCACATAATCTTCACAGAGTATCTTCATACATAATGTATGGAGATAGATACTATTATTATTAAGATGATTAGGAGTGTTCATTGAAGGGACACAGGAAAAGGTGGGTTAAATTTTTCTCTTCTGAAATCTCAGAACAGCACTTGCTCTAAGCAATGGTAGCTGATTGCCTGTGCTATGAGAGACACTGAGAAGGCTCTCCTGCTCAAAATTACTCCTCTTATCCAAGTGTTCAAGTGTCTGAAATCCCACTCTTAGAAATTCATTATTGTTCTTTCCAGATATTGTTTTTAAATGATTTAAATGGTTTTAAATCTTTTTAAATGATTTTTAAAAATGGCAAATCATCTTTTAAAATTCATGCAAAACACCTTAGCATGAATAAATGTATCAATTCACTTCCTTGTCTGAGAGGAGAAACCCAAATCAACACCATCAAGCACTGTGGGAGAAAAGAAACCCAAAGGGCAATATATTGGGGGAAATATGCAAAAAACAGTAACAACAAAAACATGCATGTGTGGGGTGGAAGGTGGTGGATTAATATATAAACTTCACCCAGGTGGTGAATTTTCCAGAGAGATATCTAATTTCTCGGAATTAAACATCAATTCTCAAATCTTAAGCCAATGGCATTTGAGTTTTCAGTATTAGGGTACCTGGTAGATTTATTATATAATTAACGTTGCTAGGCTGAGAAATTCAGTTCCTGAATTAACTACATAATACATGTAAATTATAAAGCTAGACATATATGACACGTTATAATTTAAAAATTCTTGTAAGTTCATATGGATTTGAAAACATTGGATCTGAAATGTAAGTTAAAATAAAAACATTAATAAAAAGCTTACCTGCAACATCTCCAAAACAACAAATACTCCCAAATAGATAGTTCTGCCATTGTATGGAGACATGGAAATGTTTTTTCAGAAAAATCCCTATCGACTAGAACTAGGCCATACCACAATTGTCCTGGTAAATACAATGCAGTTTTGGTGGTCTCTCATGTCATACATACAGAAAGTGTAGGAATATGGTTATATATTACCTTTCTAGAACTGACATATTGAATAATTTTACTTATTTGAAATGCAATGGAGATCCAGAAACAAATTTTGAAAGCTTTTAAAAGATCAAAATATATCTAAAGCCCATATACTTTATTCCCAAGGAAGGCATTAAGTACCTATCTATTCTTGCTTTAAATATAACTCTAACAGGTTGGACATATGTTTTCTGGAGTCAAAATAAATTGTAAGCAGCTAAATAGAAGACTTGACAGCAAGATACAGGTAGAAGTAAGCCAGGTCATAAAAAGAAAACAAACAGCCTATAAAAACATTAACTACGAAACTTTGTGCCCACCATAAATGTTAACCTGAATCTAATAATGAGAAAACAATCAGACAAATCCAGATCATGGGATATTCGACAAGACAACTGGTCTGGAATCTTCAATAGTGTCAATGTGCATGAAAGACTGAAAAAGAGTGAAGAGACTTTTCTAGATTAAGAGACTTGACAACCAAATGCAATGTATAATCCTGGGTTGGATCCTGGATCAGAGAAACAAAATAGTTTTTTTCAGACAACTGATGAACTTGGAATATGGAGTGTGTGTCAGATAACATTGTACCACTATTAAATTTCTTGGGTGTGATGATGGTATTATGGCTACGTAGGAGAATGTCTGTTCTTAGAACATGTGTGCTGAAGTACTTGGGGGGGAAGTACCATCATTAAAATGTATGTTTGTATATGTGTATGTATGTATCTCTATTGTAGTTATTCTCTTCTCTTCTCCCTCCTTCCCCTTCCCTCCCCCCACTTTCTTCCTTCCGTCTTTCTTTCCTTCCTTCCTGCATCCCCTCCCCCGCTTTCTTTCTTTCTTCTGTCCTTCATCCACCCATCCATCTATCAGATAAATCAAGCATGACAAAATGTCAACAACTGGTAAATCCAAGTGAAGAGTAAAATAACATAAAATAAAAATAGCAGAAAAAAGAGCAAACAAGAATAAAATGCTCAAATCCACATGCACAATATGGCAAATGAAGCAGTTTTGATGGGGAAAGGGGACGGGGTAATTTTTATGCCAGCTGTTTAAACAGGCAGTTAATAATTTTGTGATTTTTTTTTTTACCATTTTCCCTGAAAATAAATGGAAGGTTTCTGACCTATGTTAGTGATGTTAAAATAAGGAAGAGTAACACGATTGGAGTTAAAGACACTGAAGAAAGCTAATGGTTACCAACTGTCATAAAGAATGAAAAAGATGTAAGATAAAAATGATTTAAAGCCTATCAATGGTCTCTAATCCACACCATTAACTTTTCAGTTACTAGTCAGATACTCTAGGAATATAATGACACAGTGCGCCAATGTGACAACAGAGTAATTTGCTGATTAGGTAACTTTTTCTCCTTATTGAGTAGTATTTACAATTCATGCTCAGTTAGTTGTCTTGTGGTTAGTACACTGTTTTCAGGTTAAGTTGAAGTGTATAGAAGAGTGATCTCAGTCACTATAAGGTATTATCTCACTAAAGCGAAATAAGAATCATAAATGTCATAAATGACAGAAAATTGCTACGGTCAAAATTCAGAGACAGAAAAATTATCACTGCAAAAATTACTTAACTTGCTAAATTGATGGACATGAAAAATTGAGCAAAAAGCCAAACTAGCATGTAAAAAGTAACCATTAAAAAATGTATCAGAAGTCAAAGTGACCGTTGCCAAAAGAGTTGTGTCTAAAAATCACAGCATCAAAAATACCACAAAAAAGGCCGCTGATAGGAACCATGTGCTCAGAGGTAAACAATACGCCTCATGAGGGCGGGGACAGCCTCTTTCTTACTCACTATTATTCACTGCTGTACCCAGAGCATAGCACAAATCTGAAACATAGGTAAGAAATGTGTAACTTTATTCATGTAAAAGCAAATAAGAAATGAAGTATATTTGTATAATCTTACTTTTTCCTGTCAAGATTTCAGAACTGAGGGTACATGATGAGAAACAATTGAGCAAGCATACAATTAATTCTCTAACAAAACATCTCTTTGTTGCACACCAAAATTGAGGATTGTGAGAGTACAGGTAGTATCTTTGTTTGAGGATGCCCTTTCTATAGACCTGAATGTCTCCTGATCACCTCTAGCCAGATACGATTTCTTCCTTTTGTGATTTCCTAAGACTGTGCCTCACATAGTCTTACCTTACTTTGTATTTCAGTTATTTCTATGTATTATCTATGTGTGTCTTTCTCCCTGTTAGACTGAAAATTCCTGAATGCAATGACTGTTTTTCATTTACATGTGTATCTTTACCAGAATCTAGTGCCAAGGCAAAAAATGAAAAAGAAAATCAAAATAGTAATGTCTAGTTTTGAATGCTGAAGACATGGAGGGAATATGGGCAAGGATGGGATCATTACCAATGTAAACTTCTTAGCAATTTTCCAATTAGGCTACATATCTAAAATTATTTGAAGAGTAGTGCACTGATGGCTGCTTCTGCTCCCGTGATTGGTGAAATACTCTGGATGTAAAAATTGTCATATTATGACTTTTTAAATGAAAGGATATTTGCTTGATTCTAACAAAGATCTTATAATTGAATGTTGACTGGAGAGAAAAACACTCTAAAAACCCATGTCAAGAAAAATTAATATCAATATAGGATTCTTACCCATAAAAATCATGAAGTTTCCTAAAACAAGAAAAAAAAAGCTTCTTAACATACTTACCGGAAATGGTATTATTTGTAAGGTATTTTTGATGGATGGATTTTTGCAAATGGTTTCTTGTACATCTGAAATAATTATACCATGATAGAAAAATAATTTAGTTATGTATATTGAAAGGGAAGAATGACTAAAGAATCAAAAATTAAATTCTGCTGTGTCAAAATATTCAAAATTGAGTATGACACTTTTGTCTATTGTCCCCAGAAACAGTCTTTATATAATTTGATTAAAAACAATTACGTAAAACTTATGTTAATAGAAAGGAATTCCTAGTATTTGACTACTCTATAAATCTTTATTCTAATGCTAGGTTTTCTTTCCTTTTTTATTTTTCTTCTTCTTTTTTTTTTAAAACTAAAAATGAATTTCATTTGTGGAGCATCTCAGGAAAGAGGAGAAGATGTTTATTTAGCTATTAAGGGACAAAAAGTTGAGTAATTGGCCAACTCTTGCGTTTTCAATGTTTAGGTTTTTGTCCATATAATAGCAAGGGTCTGGGCAAAAGAACACAAAATTCAGGCAGAATCTTTTACATGAAGCATTTAAATATGTGGAAGTATCTAATAGGAAAAAAAAACCCTCTCCAAAAAACTGACTGGAGGTTTTTACTCTTTATTGCATAATTTTACATCTTAAACTTATAGCTTTAGCTCTGTATTGCTTTTGTGGTTGTAGCACCTTACTTTTTGTTAATATATTATTTTAAAATTTAATTTTGAAATTAACATAAGGAGTATATAAAACATATATGCACATTTTAATTAATAACAATAAAGCTAATGTCTTTGTAACCACCTAGATTAAGAAATTTGAACATTATTACTACTTTAGAAGCTTCCTGGAGCTCCTTATCTCCACACTACCCTGTGGATTCCACTCCCTTCCCTTGCTCACAGAGGTAACCCACCATACTGACTTCGTTTCTTTATAGTTTTAACACATATAAATACATCCCCCAAATAATATCGTTTAGTTTTGCCTGTTTCTGAACTTCACATTCTCGTGATTTGCCTTATTTTGCTCAAAATTATCTATTATTTAGATTCATCCATGATGATGTGTATAGCTATAGTTTGTTATTTTCCTTGCTGAATAGTATTTCAGCACGTAAATGTACCACGTTTAGATGTTTTCAATTTTTGGCTTTTATAAACAATGATGATCTCTATATACTTATACATGTCTCCTGATGTACAAGTGCAGGGTTTTCTCTAGGGTATGCATCTAAAAGTGAAATTGCTGGGTTGTAGGGTATGTACATGTCAACTTATTAGGTGGTGACAAAACGTTTCCTGGAGAGGTTGCCCCAGTTTATACTCCCACCAGCATTATATGAGAGCTTCGATTGCTGCACTTCTTTACCAACACTTAGCATTGCCAGGCTTTTAAACTTATGTCTTTCTGATGAGTATATAACTATATCTCATTGTTTTAATTTGCATTTCCCTATTACTAACGATGTTGAATATCTATCAATGTTTATTGTCATTTGTATTTCCTTTGTTATGAAGTTTCCATTCAAGTCTTTTTCCTCCCTATTTTTCTAACAAGTTGTCTTTTTTCTTATTGATTTATAGGGGTTCTTTATATATTTTGAATGAGTCCTTTATTCTATGTATTATAAATATTTTCTCTTATTCGTGGCCTATCTTTTCATTCTTTTAATGTTTTGATATGAAGAGAAATTTGTAATTTTATTATAGCTAAATTTTCTCCTCTATGAATTATGTTCCATGTGCTCTCAAGAAATCTTTCCTGGGGCCGGCCCGGTGGCACAAGCGGTTAAGTGCGCGCGCTCTGCTGCAGCAGCCCAGGGTTTGCCGGTTCAGATCCTGGGTGCGCACTGATGCACCGCTTGTCAAGCCATGCTGTGGCAGCGTCCCATATAAAGTGGAGGAAGATGGGCATGGATGTTAGCTCAGGGCCAGTCTTCCTCAGCAAAAAGAGGAGGATTGGCACATGTTAGCTCAGGGCCGATCTTCCTCACCAATAAATAAATAAATAAATAAATAAATAAATAAAAGACTCTTTATTAAAAAAAAAAAAAAAAGATCTTTCCTCACCCTAGGTTAGAAAAAATTTTCTTATATTATCTCCTAAAAGCTTTATATATTTTCTTTCACATTTAATCTTCAATCACTTTTGAACTGATTTTTTTGTATAGTATTTGGTGGGAGTTCAATCTAATTTCTTCCTATTTCGTATGTAATTATCCCAATATAAAGTGAAAAACAGCTTGTCTGAAAATGACCCCTGAGGTTCTTCACAGCTTTTCTGTCAGTGTGCTGAGATCCAAGAACAGGTTTTCACCCCACGTGAGAGGTGCTGTGCCTAAATCCAACTTCCTACAAGATCGGTCACTCCTTCTCCCAGCAAAAAAGGCTGCAATTTCTCACATTGGGATTCCAATTACATGTTTGTTAGACTGGTTATATTGTCCACAAGTTTTAGATCCTCCGTTCTGTTTTTTTTCCCCTCATCTTTTTGTTTTCTCTCCTGGTGTCCTAGTTTGGAAATTTTCTGTTACCTATCTTGAAATTCATTGATTCTTTCCTCAGCTGTGTTGAGTCTACTGATGAGCTCATAGAAAACATTTTTCATTTCTGTTACAGTGTTTTTATTTCTCACATTTCTATTTGACTCTTTCTTTTCTAAATTGCCTTTTATTATTATTTTTTTTTTGAGGAAGATTGGCCCTGAGCTAACATCTATTGCCAATCTTCCTCTTTTTTTCTTTTTTCTTCCCAAAGCTCCAGTACCTAGTTGTGTATCATAGTTGTAGAGTTGTAGCTATTCTATATGGGATGCCACCTCAGCATGGCTTTATAAGCAGTGAGTAGGTCTGTACCAAGGATCCGAACGGGTGAACCCTGGGTCGCGGAAGCTGAACGCGTGAACTTAACTGCTATGCCACCGGGCCGGCCCCTATTTGACTCTTTCTTCAAGTTTCCATCTCTCTGCTGAAATTCTCCATCTGTTCATGCATGTTGTCTATCTCTCCCATGTTGTCCACCTTTCCCACTATAACCTTTAACATATTTGTCATAGTTATTTAATATTACCTGTCTGATAGTTCCAACATCTGGGTCATCTTTGTGTCTCAATCTGTTGATTGCTTTGTCCCTTGATAGTGAATTTTTTTCCATGCTTTTTTTGTATGTCTCATAATTTTTGAATGCTGGACTTCATGTTTAGAATAGTGTATACTGAGGTATATATTTGTACCTGGAAATGGGCATGCCTCTTCTGCTGGGCAATTGGGGTGTGTGTGTGTGTGTGTGTGTGTGTGTGTGGTTAACTTAGGAATCGAGCTGGGTTGGGGTTTTGTTGTTGCTATGGCTACTTTTCAGTACATCACTGGTTTCAAACTCATCTAGTGTTATTTTGTGCTCCTGCAGGGGTCATGGAAGTTTTTTTCCTTCAATGTTCCTGTTCCACTCTCAGCTTTTGGCCTTCCTATATGTCTGTGCAATAGAAGGAGGCTCTCTCTGTGCTCTTGCCTCTCTTCCAGCAGATTTCTATTGCTTGCTACTTAGTACTTGCTGGCCTCGTGGTGGGGAAATAGGGGAGTTTTTAGGTTGTCCTGGTCCAGCTTCAGTCTTAGGCAGGTCCTCTGTGCCTTCTTAGTCATCCTACTCCTTCTTTCCACGGCAGTCAACCTTGCCTTGTCTCTTTGGCAGGTTTTGTGTAAGAGAATTTTGTGCCTCTCCTCCAGTAGCAGGATACCTCTAATAATCTGGGCCCATGCCTGTTTCTTGCTCTTCCCCCAGGAGTAGAAGCGTTTTTCTTTTATCTTTCCCCTAACCCTGGTAAGTTTTCACCTGTGCCCTGCGGGTAATCAACAAAGTTTGCTGGGTCTGTCCCAGTACCTTCATCTGCTCCATACTGAAGTTCAAGATATGCAAGCTTGTTTCACTTCTCTCTCTCTGTCTCTGTGTATGTGTATGTTTCTGTAGAGTGCAGCTCTTTGGGAAGCCCAGTTTTAGGGTGAGAGGATCGTCTATGAGACTACTCATCTGGAGTGGACCCTGAATTTTGTCTCCTGTTCCCTTTCTTCTGTGAGGTCATGAAAAACACAGCTTAATTTCACTCTGTGGGTTAAACATCCTCAAGATAAAAGCTAGTAGGCAGCACTCTCCTTATCTTTCTGGGTTCTTATCTATATTCAGTTCCTGGTCTTAGGAATTCCTTATATTCCTACCAGCTCATTGCTATATTTAAGATTTTTAAAGTACTTAATCCAGAATTTATGGTTGTTTTTGATGGATAGTCAGCACAGATACCTAGTCTGTCACACTGCTGAAATGGAAGTGTATTCATACATTCCTATAAAAGACAGTTAAGCCTGCTGAAGAAATTGGCATCATTATAAATGACATGAGTAAGGTATACTTGAAATAGTATGGTATATTCAAACATATTTTTAATTATTATATACTTGATTTAAGTAAGTGATAATCTGGATACATTTTGTATTTTTATTTTCAATTTTTAAATTAAATTTTAAATTAAAATTGTCTAAGTGCGAAATATAATATTTCTTACAACAGATGTTTTTCCAGACTTACAGTGTAACCTTTCATTGAGACGATTAAGGGATTGTAGGATCTTCTGTTCTTCAGCTGATAGTGCACAGATATTGAATCGCTGGGTCTTATTTGAAGCCAGATTTGATTTCTGTAGCTGCTTGCTATTCATGACAGTTAGAATTTCATCCTCAGGCACTGAAGCATTCACTAGGTTTTCAGCCATCAAAAACTCAGAAGTACTGTCTGAAACTACAGAAACTTTACATTAAGTATTCTTTGATCCTGTTTTGTCTTTGGGATGAGCCCTTATACATACTTAACTGACATATATCTGTATGTATTCATTTCACAAACAGAAACTCAGTAAATCTTCTATTACTTGGCATTTTATTTATCAGGATCCTCTATATCTAGCATTTTCCCGTCCTTGATTAAAAAAGATATTCAAAATGATGGCAGTGAGGTAATAAAAATTCCTAGAGTGTTACCTGAACTAAAGAAAAAATACATTATGTTTAGATTATTTTTTGTGTTGTGTTTTTGTTATTCATTGGTAGTACAAAGACAAGATGAAGTAGATTGTCTTTATAATAGCAAATAAGACGAGTTATAAATAAGAGAGTAAGAGAAAAGGAACTTAAGGAAAGATTAGAAAATTAGATTATCAGCTGAACAGAACTGACAGCCTAGAAACAGACCCAGTTAGATATAAGAACTTAACAAATGATTAAAGAAGCATCAAAGACTTGAGAGAAAGGAGAGAGGACTCAATAAATTAGTTTGTTGCTTACAAAAGAATTTTGGAGTTTCACTTCACACCATCCATTTAAACAAATTCCAAAGAAATTAAATAATTAACTTTAATGAATCAAACTATGAAAGCAATCTAGAGGAAAAAGAAATAAATATTTCTAAATTTCTGTATTGGGAAGGTTCTTTGAGCTTAAAAGTAACGGAGAAATCACTAAGAAAAGACTAAAAACATGTTTATTTAAGGCCAGTCTTCCCTAATAGATTTTAAATTTCTAAAGGGCAAGACTTTTTAATGTTTTGTTCATTATTGTATATCTAATATCTAGCTGCAGGGAGGAAATTAGCTCTCAATAATCATTTATTGAATGAAAAATGACAAGTAATACTTCTATATGTAAAAATACAACATAAGTGAAATAAAATGCAAATAATAAAGTAGTAAAAATATTTGCAACTAATATAAGGATTAGAATCCTTGCTATTTGAAGAATTTTCAGAAATCAGTAAGAAAATACCAAAGCTCCAATATCTATAGGGAAGAAGAATATGTCGAAACAATTCACCAAAAATAAATATACATACAAAAACAATTAAGCATATTATTAATAAAACATGTACAAATAAAAACTAATAAAACACCATTTCTTTGCTTTTCATATAAGCAAATAATAGAAGTGATTCTACCTCAAGTTGCCATATACCCCAGAAGAATTTTAAATGATAATACTTTTTAGGAAAATACTTTAGGAATATGTATGGAAAGCCATAAAAATGCTTATTTCCTTTGATCCAGTATTCATTTAAGATGCAGAGTTTCATTCAACAAATATTTATTGGGTGCCAGTTACATACCAAGTACTATAATTTTAATTCTGGGAATTTATCTTACGGAAATAATGAAAAGTGAGGAAAAAGCTTGATGTAGAAAGATGTTCAATACATTATTATTTAGAATAAACAAAAATTGGCAACAACCTAAATGTGCAGGGTGAGGAGAATTCAGGTCCCAAATGGTGGTTAAACAGTCATGTACTATGTAAGTACTTGGGAAAATACATGTAAGAAAAAAGAAATCACTGGGAACAAAGCTCAGACAATAATGTTTAAACTAAAACATACCTTCTTCAATATTAGAAGTACCCCTTGTGGTTTGTTTTGGCTCACTTGAACTTAGCTGGACACTTTGTCCAAAATTCTATAAAAATAGAATATTAAATCAGAACATAAATTCATATTTAAAATTCATGATATATATATTGACTTTATAAAACTCTTATTTGCTGTATATATCTTCAGCTATCACTGTTCATGTAACCTGTATATTTTCTTTTTTTTTGGAGCAGAAATCAAGAATTACTGGAATAAAGCCTTTCTATGGTACTTGAATATTTTGAAAAATGTTTTATGTCAATTTTGGAAAAATTTCAGATTGTAGTGTTGTCTTGGATATTTGGAAAAGGAAAGTAAGTTGGGTAGCAATCAAAAGTGCTAATTAAAAGGTAAAAAATTACCTCAAGGTTTGTAACCTAGTTGGTTTACCATTGTAAAGGTAAATCACGACTACTAGCCGAAAGCCTCTAATTATGGCTAATGCCAAGGACAGGAAAGTATCTTAGACGACAAAGCTTAAAAAGGAGATAGCTGCCTTAATGCTGCATAGAATCGGGAAATCTCAGAGCGCTGGCAATTAGTACACCCATTCAACACTCTCTGAGGGATACCAACTCTCCCTCCCTGGATATGGTTTACTTGATTAGCAGACATTTGGTCCTGTCCAAGATGTCTATCAGACATTTGGTCCATGCCAAAAGGCATGGTCAACTTTGGTCCTGTCCAAAACATCCATGGAGACATTTGGTCCATGCCAAAAGCATGCTTGATATTTGCAGGACCATTTGGTCCTGTTCAAAATGTCTATCAGACATTTGGTCCATGCCAAAAGGTCCTTGATATTTGGTCCTGTCCAAAACCATGTGGAATGGACCACATATACTCATGGACATTTAGGATAGGAACAAATGTCAAGGATGTTTTGGCGTGGACCAAATATCAAGGACCTTTTGGCATGGATCAAATGTCTTCTGGACATTTTGGACAGGCCCAAATGTCCTGCAAGGGATCTATTTTGCTTCTTCATTCTCATTCTGTTCTACTTTAAGAAATGACTGTTTCTCTCAGATAAAATTGCTTGGCTATGACTATACCTAGCCTTTGTTCAGTCTAATCTAAGGAGTAACTGATGTAGGCTTCTGCAACAGCCCTCTTTCAACAGCTCTCATAGCCTTAAATGATCTCCATTATATACTTGAGACACCTTGGACTGAGGCCCTGGCACAAAGTGGCAATTGTGCTTTTCCTATCTTTCACTGATCTCTTTTAGATTCTCTTCACATAGAAGTAGTGGACTGGGAAAAATCCAGTATGGTAAAATACGTTTCCTAAGACAAAGTGACAGGGGCCAGTGCTATAGTAACTGAACCCTTCTTTAGGCTCTCTAGCAAAGGAAGAAACAAAACCAAAAACCAAAAATCAAAACAAAACAATAGGGATGAAAAAATTAAACTTCAAAACTTGATTTTGATTCAGAAACACTGACTATTCTAAAGCTAGCAAGACTTTGGAAGATGTGTAAGCGGGTGTGTGAGTGAAAGATGTATATGTGACAGTGCAAATGAGGCTTCTGGAAAGGACAAAAATGGACTCTAAAGGCAGTAAGACAGAAGACAAAGGAGCAAGACACAGAAGAACAAAATAAGATGCAGAAAAATAAAGATGAATTTAGAGAGGGTACTAATAGGCATTTAAGATTTAGTTTGTTCATTTTTTTGTTATAACTACACATTACTTTTACACAAAATATATTAATAAAAATAAAGAAAAAATAAAGAAAAAAAATTTGTTCACTTTATAGATTTTGAGATGTTTCATGAGAACATGGAAAGTTAAAAAGGAAAGACTTATTAGGCATTACTGTAATTGTAATCAGGAAGTTACATTTGTAATTAAATACTATGTTTTTTATTAAGCAGTAAGAATACATTGGTAATGGGATAACTTGATTTACATAAATAAATAGCTAAATGACTTTTGCTGATAAGATTATATCATGGTTGATTGTTCTCCATATTAATAATCTTATCCATAAAAAAATCAACAGTTCCTACAATATACAAATAACAGGACCCTCAACCTATAACTTGGAATATAAATTCTTCATAATGCTTTCTATTCCACTTCTACTAAAAAACTCAGAAGAAGTGATATTTAAAGTAGAAACTCCAAGTGAAATGCTATTCACTCACCCATCTGGATTTTTTTATTATTTTAAATTTAATCCTTGTATAAAGTTAGACCTCTAGAAAATGTCATATTTAGGTCACATTTACTTAGCTCTCAGAGAATTACCTCCAGTAATTTTTAAATTAACGTTACTATGCTTTTGACTTTTATTGAAGATCTCTGTTTCAAACAGCCAAATGAAACTCCTTATTCATTTTTGTACTGTTAATAGGGATATATCCATTATGAACTTCAAGGTCCCCTACAGAAGATCCTCAATGGGAATGTCTTTTAATATAGTGTACCTTAAGCAAAATCATTTTCAATATTCCCTGAGATCTATATAACTCATCCTATTTTCCTTTTTGCCATGTCTTCCAGGAAGCTCAGATCCAAAGAGGATATTGAAACATATAGAACTATATTAATTTTTATAATTAGTATACTTCTTCCTCTATCCATGGCTCTAATTTACTTAAAAAAATATATATATATATATTTAAATAACTTTGCTGTGAATAACCTCAGTTTTTTTCCAGAGTTGACTACAAATAATAACAAATAAAATAATAATGGTGATTTCTTAAAGTTGGTTTAAAATCTTCATTAGTAGCTCATAACATAGGTTAATTAGAATACAGCAAATAAGTATAGTAAAATAAGCTCCTAGCATTGAGATTCCAAGGCTGCTTCACAATGGCTATGGCTATATTTATATTTATGTTGTGGTACACAGTTTTACAGCAAGAGCATAGTCCTTTAAGAGCATTCTGTTTTCCAAGCAATTTTCCACTACTGAATAGAGATTTTTACTAATACTGTACTTACATTCATTTGCTCACTATACTTCTGTCCTACAGATCCAGGGTTTTCTCTTTTCTGCTCTAAAAGAGTTCTCTGCTTATTTTCAACAATTCGTTTTCTTCTTATAACGGTAGAATCTTAAACAAATGCCAGCACAATGTCAAAATTTATACAAGTTGAGTAGATAATATATATCCACTGCATTATTAAGCTTTTCTTACAAGTACTATGCATGGCACAGTTACAATCAGGAATTAAACAAAATATCTGCTTCTGAGGGGTTTATAGTTTACAGCAGTGACTTCCAAAGTTTGGTGTTAGAATATCAGGAGAATCTGCAAAATAAATCACTGCCGTGCAGGAAGAACATATCAGAATTCCAATTTATATTTATTATCTAAAAATTGGAAATTAAACTTTACTATGGTAATATATGGTTGACACTGGCACCTCTGTCAGTTTGCAAGGTAGATGTTCATATATTGCATACAGTAAATGAAGTTATCTTGGAGGAAGTTCTAAGTATGTGAGGTTGGCAGTGGTATCATTCATTGTGCTCTTTTGCTTTCTGCAATGTACTAAATTTTATGTGTGCCCTGGTAAGTGGATTTATGGATATCTCATAGTATTCTGAATGAGTCCTCACAAAATGGGAAAGAGGCTAAAAAAGACTTTTGTAGGGCTTCCATTGTAGGTATAAAGTTTATAATGTTTTATTATTTAATGTGAGTGGTGGATACATGGATATGTATAATTTTTCTACACTTTTTGTATGACTAATTAAAAACATTCTTGCAAAATCTTAGATCAAAGATAATACTAATAATACAAGCACAGATGAATAAGAAAAAGGCAGAGCTGACACATCTCTTATTCTCATTACAAACTCTTTGCCACATAATGACAATGACAGTATAATTGTATTTGTAACAAAGTTAGGATCACAAATTAAAAAATTATCAAAAAAACTATAACAATAGACTTCACCCTAAATGCGTATTGTGCCTTGAGATATTAGCTAATGATTGTACATGGAATGAAGTCATCATAATTGACAAGACATTTGAAACTAAGCATTTGGAGGATTATTAATAATATATGAGAGAAAAAGTATTTGATATATTAATGCATAAAATTATTTTTATAATGATTTTAAAATGTTTTATTTATCAAATACAAAATTTAAAAATTATTCTAAAAGTTTGTACTTCATCTTTATCTCATTCTTTAAAAATTTCTATTAATAGTGGTACAATAAAAAAATCTTGAAGTCCATTAGTCTAGAAGAATGTATATAAATTTATTTATTATTTTTTAAAATTTGATTCTTTACATATTTGGGATGTTAGAAGAGTTCTTTACATATTCTGGATACTAGATCCTTATATGATTTGCAGATTTATTTTTTTCCCCATCCTGTGGCTTGTCTTTCCTTTTTTTTTTTTTCCCTTGGTGAAGAAGATTGTCCCTGAGCTAACATCTATGCCAATCTTCCTCTATTTTTTTTGTATATAGGACGCCACCACAGCATGGCTTGATGCGCAGTGTGTAGGTCCACGCCTGGGATCCAAACCCAAAAACCTTGGGCTGCCAAAGCTGGGCATGCGAACGTAACCACTATGCTACCAGGCTGGCCCTGGATATAAATTTAAATGGATTATTACAGTAAAATGAATAAATTGTATGTAGAGCTATAAACAGAATTAAGCAAAAGCACAGAGGCTGGAGTGTCTTTGTGAGAGTCAAGAAAAGTTTCACAGAGAAGGTTATGCCTGAGCTTGGTCTTAAAGGAGTAGTAGGTTCTCAAGTAAAAGGACTTTTTGAGTCAAAAAGAACACTATGTTCAAATGCACAAAGCAACAATGATGGATAGTTAAGTCTCTTGAGGCTGAGAGCTGGAAAATTCAATTAGTCTGGGGCATAGACTATAGTATGTGTGTAAACACACAAATGTCTCGGGAAGTACATGGGAGTGTGTGTGTGTGCTTTTGTGATAAGAGTTCAGGTAGGAGAAAAAGATGAAAATATTTTTAGCTCTGAAATATTTTTAGCTCAGAACATAAGTTTGAATACTGAATCTAATTTATGTTATTATAGCTAATATATATATATATTTTTTCTATATATAACTATACATATATAGTTATATGCATATACTGTAACCACATATAAAACTATAACTATATATAACTATCTATATCTATATAACAATAAAGATACAAAAGCTTTCAACTTGCAAGAAAGTTGGCTAGTAATTGAACACTTGACCTTTTAGAGTAAGAAATAATAACATAATTCTAGCTAATATGTATTGAGAATTTATAATTGCCCAGGCATTGTTCCAAGGGCTACAGGGACTATTATCATTATATTTTTATTGATAAAGAAATTAAGGCACAGGAGAGGATAAGTAACTTGCTCAAGGTCACAGAGCCAGTCAAGAACAAAGCTGGTATTTAGCTCCAAGCAGTTAGTCTCTAAAATCTAAAATTCTAGCTCTTACTTTCTATGCTATTAACTTTCATTCTGATCTGACTGTGTCTCACAGAAAGAAATATATTTTGCATTGTTACCCAGGATGCATATACAATTTTGTGAAACATATTTACCTTTACAATATATGATGTCCTCTGGTAGTTTCTATTCTAGAATATTGATTCTAAAATTATATTTCATTAAAAAAATTCTGGTCACCAAGTCAATTTCATAATCTACTAATGAGTCATGACATAGTTTAAAAAGCACTGTATTATGTTTATTCCCACCCATATGGGTATGCTAAATGCTAAATATGCTAAATGCTATAGTTTCTAGTGAGATCATTTGGGCAGCAATAAAGTTTCTATGCTGTTTTCTATGCTTGGAATTGTCTTTCCCTAAATTTTGTAAAGTCCCTATCTTTCCATTTTTGAACAGCTTTAAAAATACCTTAAATGAAAATTTCCTTGGCCATTTGACTGCTACATCAAGAATTTTTCCCTTCCTTCAGCCTGTTCAGAAATCTTCTGGAAGCAAGATTTACCAACACTTTTGTACTTTCTTGATTTGTAGCATAATTATTTTTTTTTGTGCTTTATTGTTCTTCGTGTAAGCGTTCAGTTTTGTGGATTGTAGATTATTGGTCCCAGGAACAGATATAGTATATGCTTAAAACTGTTTATGTATTGTTCCATTCACAACATGCACTTAAATACTATCTACTAATTAATATAATAGCTGAGAACCTTGGTATTTTTGCAAAAACAATATAGATTGTACTGGCATCTCTTGCCAAATTTCTAGTCTCATACGAAAATTATAGATATGATAGTTTTACTACCAAAACTTCAAAATAAAGCTACAAATCTTTAATAAAGTATTATAGATTTTTAAATTTGTAGTATTCTTAATTACAAACATAAGGGAAAATTCTGGAGACGTTCACAGAATTATAGCTTTGGAAGAGATCTTAGAAGTTCACCCTCTTACTCATAGATCTGCATTACTCACAGGTGGACATTCAACCTCTGCTTGAATGGTATATGATGGGGAGCCCTTGCCCCATAGGGCACCCTCTTCCATTGTTGGTGGTTTTAGCTCAAACCCTTCCTTATGCTGAGCTGAAAACATCCTTGCAATTGTTACCCCTTCATTTAGTTCTGTTTTCTCCTTCTTTCACATAATAAACCTTCAAATATTTGTACACAGCTATCACGTCTCTTAGGCTAGCGCTCCTTTAATTGGTCTTCAGATCCAACCCCTCCTTCCAGAGTCCAGGGTCACCCCTGCTTGTTTAAATAGCCCTTAAAACCTACGGCCTAAAATAATGTAGAGTACAGCAGTACTTCCAAAGATCTGGTCATTACTGCCTAAAATTATATTAAGCTTTTAACAGCTACAGCAAACTTTTTTTCTGGTGTAGTCTGCTGTGGGTTTTTTTTTTTTTTCTTTTTTAAAAGAACAGTTGTCAAGGCGAATATCTTTCTTCTTGGAACTATAAAATTAAAAAAAATCCTAACTGGGGCCAGCACCGATGGCCTAGTGGTTAAAGTTCGGCCCTCTCTGCTTCCGCCTGGGTTCCGTTCCTGGGCGCAGAACCACACCACTCGTCTGTTCGTGGCCATGATGTGGCTCACGTTAAAAAAAAGAAGATTAGCAACAGATGTTAGCTCAGGGTGAATCTTCCCAAGAAGAACAACAAAAAATCCTAACTAAATACATATAAGCAAGCTGCAAAGGAAAAGACCACATTAAAATGAACTTTTATTCATCCAGAAGAGTGAAACCACAAATCCCAAACTATCAGGACATAATTGGAGCACATATAACTGATACAGATCCTAAAATATATAAAGAGCTTCTACCAACAAGTGAAAAAAACCAAGAGCAGACATTTCACAGAAGAGGAAATGCACATAAAACATAAACATATGAAAAATGCTCAAATCATTAATAACCAGTAACCAATGCAAATTAGACACCATTTCTCAACCATAAAATTGAAAACACTACAAATTCTGACTGTCAGTTTTGGTGAGCATATAGTAAGGGGAACTTTTATATATGGCTCTAGAAAATAATTTGGCATTACCTAGTAAAGCTGAAAATAGACATACCATATGACCTAGCAACATGTGTATCAGTAGACATACAAAATTGTTCTTAGAAGCATTATTCATAAAAGCAAGAAACTGGAAGCAATCCAAATATCCAAAGACAGGAGACTAAAAATTTTTGTACATTCATATAATGGAATGTAATATAGCAATGAATACAAATGAAGTGAAGTACAGCTAAATTAACCGATAATAATGAACCTAAAAAACACGATTGAAAAAAGCAAATCATAGAAGAATATAGACAAAATGGTTATTTATATGTTACAAAACTAGGCAAAACTAAATAATATATTGTTTGAGGCATATTTACATATGGTAAAATTATAAAAAAAAGCATGAATAATTAACACAATTCTATATGGTAGTCACTTCTGTAAAAGAAGAAGGGGATGCAACTAGGGAGGGGCACATGAGATTTCAACAATAGTAGTGATTTTCATTTCTAAAACCGGGTAGTGGGTACAGGGTTCTTTTTAAATTACTAGTCTTTAACTTGTTCTTATATATTATATACATTCTTTTGTATGTGAGATATATTT